GATCAAGAACTTGGCCTGCACAGGGCAGCACTTGGGCCTGAGACATCCCCATATCCCTGAGATCACTGAAGAGCTGGATGCGACGTGAGAAACTCACTTGCTGGCGCAGCATGAAAATAAGGCAGTTTGCCGTGCTCAGAAAGGGTCTCCCCTGGGAACGTAGGACCACAGCCCTCCTCACTCACAGATCTGAGACTTGATTTTGTGCTAAGGTTGTAGTTGGAGAGCCTCGAAGTAGATAAATTAACTTACAATAACGGTCCAGCCTGGAAATATCACTGGGGCACCTGGCAGAAACAAACATGACAAGTCTTTGTATGGCCAAATCCTTCAGCAAACCTCCAAGGATTCCTTTGATAACAGCCCACTGAAAGTGAGCTCACCATATAAAATCACCAAATACATGGAGAAACTAGGCAGCGTACGTGCAAATGCGTAACACTTGGGTAAAACTTTGATGCAAAATACGGGGATTTTGCTAAAAAGGAAGAAGTAGCCCTTAAAATCTCATGCCTTTTTCTTGGGAAAGGAGGTACTTGGAACCCCATCAAAGAGAATGGGGAGTGCTATCTGCCACCTTGGTCCATGAAATGAAGAAGGCAAATCATACAATAATGCATATTCCTTGAGACCGTTTCACCAAAAAAGTACAACGGTTATATTTTTGTGTGTTTATAGCAGAGTACGGAAATATATTGAAAAGTAGGATTTCAGGGGGAGGGGATTGGTGGATAAGAGTCTTAAAATTTGCATATTGTGCAGGCGCCACGGCTCACCGGCACACCGGGTTCTAGTCCCGGTCGGGGTACCGGATTCTGTCCCTGTTGCCCCTCTTCCAGGCCAGCTCTCTGCTGTGGCCAGGGAGTGCAGTGGAGGATGGCCCAAGTACTTGGGCCCTGCACCCCATGGGAGACCAGAAGAAGTACCTGGCTCCTGCCATCGGATCAGCACAGTGCGCCGGGCACAGCGCGCCAGCCGCGGCGGCCATTGGAGGGTGAACCAACGGCAAAAAAAGGAAGATCTTTCTCTCTGTCTCTCTCTCTCTCTCTCTCTGTCCACTCTGCCTGTAAAAAAAAAAAAAATGCATATTGTTTGGGTATTTTTTTTCTCTTTACAGTAAGCATTTGTGATTTTTAAAACAAAAGAAAATATTTTTAAAAGCTCTTTTGATTATAACAATAAAAGTAGCCATTTTGTCTCTGAAAATAATGAACAAAACCCAATTTTCCAAGTGCGGTTGTACTCGCAACAGGGAAGTCGAGGAAGGGACTGGGAGGAGGACAAACCTGGGGTTCTCTGAAAATCCTGTTTTTCACGCTTCTCTCACTCTGGTTGTTGCCAGCTACAATGTAACTGCGCGAAGCTGGTTTTCAGACAGTGCCCCCTTCTGAGAATGATGCTCATTGAGAGTAACTTGGAAATGATTCAAGAACTGATGGAGGTCACAGTTGCCTTACACAATCCACTTTATAGCTAAGCCCCCAAAGAGATCGGATCACAGCCTCAGACAAGACAGTGAGCTCATGCCCTGCCTGGTGCTTGGCTTGCATTTTGCTGATAATCAGAGAGACTCTAGTCAAAGCAGAATGCCTAGCTGCATACAAAAACATGCAGATGCTAAAAGACGAGCAACTCTATGACACTTTGAAGAACTGGGTTCTCTGAGATGTCTTGTGAAAAAGATGTCTTATCAAAAAAGCTGTCTTGCTACAAGAAATGACCTTTAAAAGCCATGGGGAAATAATTTGCTATGTTCCAAAGATAAAAGCTTTGCTAGGGATAAGAGCTGTATGAAGTATAGGGGGGAGAACATTTCCAAGACAGAACCAAGAAGCAGATCGTTAAGGGGATTTTTGTTGCATTAAAATTGAGCATTTGCAATTTAACATTAGAAAAATTAGTTTTAGGGGGCCAGCATTTGGCCTGGCAGTTAAGATGTCAACTGGGATGTTCACATCCCTATCAAATATGCTTACCTCCACTCCCAGTTCCAGCTTCCTGCTAACACAGACCCTGGGAGGCAGCAATGATGGCTCCAATAACTGGGTCCTAACTGCCCATATGGGAGACCTGAATTGAGTTCCAGGCTCCTGGCCGCAGCCTCACTCAGCCCAGAACATTGCAAGCATTTGGGGAGCGAACCAGCAGAAAGGAGCTTGTACCCTCACTTGCTCACTCTCTCCTCTCTCTCTCTCTCTGTGCCTCTCAAATAGATGAACAAATATAAAAAAAAATAGTTTTAATTGAATGCATTTCATAATAAATGCCAGAATTATGAGATTGATCTGATTTTATCATTTGCTTATAAAATTTATCCTCCTACTGGACAAATTTGGCACATGTTGAGTCTCTAAAAGAACAGACTACACGTGATTCTACAACATCATATAAATAAAAGTGCATGAGCCTGTAATGATATTCACAGTGAAAGGAAAACTCTTTTAAGAATGTCAGCTAATAAAAGGAAAATGAAAAATATTTAGAAAACTGCCATTTTGTATCCCAAGGCAATAACTTACTCAAGCAAGGATCAGCAATGCAAGCTAAAGTTATTAAGTGGAATTTGTTGAGGGATAGGATATATCCTCATAGCAGCAAAGAATCAACCACCAACTCTAACCATTTGCAAGGACAACAGTTTTATAAAGGAGAAATCCTCATCAACTTAACCAAAGGATGGATCACCCTTAGATTCAGTAATAGTGAGATAATCTGATGTTTCCTGATACGACGCAATAAAGCACACATCACCAATAAAGCCTTGCCAAGCTGTACAGTTTACAGGAAACAGAGGGACTAGAAGATGCTAAAAGACCACAAAAGGAAAATAACCAAATCCAGAAGGTGTACACTCTCACAATATCACTGTGCTTTTTAAGCCAAGGTCAGGGCTGGGGAATTTGGCCCCCCTGTTAAGACAACGTTTGGGGTGCCTGTGTCCCTTACTGGGGGCCCATGTTTCAGTCCTGGCTCTGCTCCAATTCCAGCTTCCTGCTAATGTGCACCCTGGGAAGCAGCAGGTGATGGCTGGAATAGCTGATTCCCTTCCACCCCCTCGAGACACCTGGACTGTTTCCAGCTCCTGGCTTCAGCCTGGCCCAGCCCTGGCTGCCCTGGGCATTTGAGGAATGAATTAGCAGATGGGAACTCTGTCATCTCTCTGCTTCTTAAATAAATCAATAAAAAGCCAATGTCGGGGAGCAGGCATTTAGTCTAGCAGTTAAAATCCCCCATACGGAGACGCCAAAGTCCCTGCTCTGGCTCCTGACTTAAGCTTCCTGTCAGTGCAGACTTCAGGCTCCTGGATGCCTTCCTGGATCCCTGCTCCAAACCAAGCCCAGAGCTGGCTGGTGGGCATTTGGGGAGTGAACCAGCAGATGGATTTCTCCTTCTCTCCATTTGATTTTCAAATAAATGAAAAAAAATTTTTAAATGTAATTTATTGGGGTCAGCACTGTGGTGGAGCGGGTAAAGCCACCACCACCTGCAGTGCCGGCATCCCATATAGGCACCAGTTCTAGTCCCTGCTGTTCCATTTCCAATCCAGTTCTCTGCTATGGCCTGAGAAAGCAGTAGATGGCCCAAGTCCTTGGGCATGTGCCCCTGTGTAGGAGACCTGGAAGAAGTTCCTGGCTCCTGGCTTCAGATTGAACCAGCAGATGGACGACCTCGACCTCTCTGCCTCTTCTCTCTGTAACTCTGCCTTTCAAGTAAAAAATAAATCTTAAGAAAAAAAGATGTAATTTCTTTCTAAAATGTGAGGAGACCATTCTAAAAAGACTACAAAGCTGGAGGCCGGCGCAGCGGCGCACTAGGTTAATCCTCCGCCTGCAGCACCAGTATCCCATATGGGCGCCAGGTTCTAGTCCCGGTTGCTTCTCTTCCAGTCCAGCTCTCTGTGCTTGGGCCCCTGCACCCACATGGGAGATCAGGAGGAAGCACCTGGTTCCTGGCTTTGCATCGGCGCAGCACCGGCCATAGCGGCCATGTGGGGAGTGAACCAATGGAGGGAAGACCTTTCTCTCTAATTCTGTCAAATAAATAAAATAATTAATTAATCTAAAAAAAAAGACTACAAAGCTACAACTAAAAGCATTGTATCATATTGATGGAATTCTGGTTGGGAATAGGGAGAGATTAGGAGCTGCTACTAATAAATTTTTGAAACAAATTAGAAATTTTGAATATAAAATAATTACCTGCATTTGATTATATTGTGAATTATTACATTTCTTCAGGTGTAAGCATGATATTGTGATCATACAACAGAATCTTCTTGTTCTTTGGAAATACAAGTTTAAACTTTTTTAAAAGCAAAATTAGAGCGAGATCTTCCATCCACTGTTTCACTCCCCAAATGGCTGCAATGAACCAGGAAGAAGCCAGCAGCCAGGAGCTTCTTCTGGGTCTCCCACTTGGGTGCTAGGGCCCAAGCACTTGGGCCATCTTCCCTTGCCTTCCCAGGGCATGCTTGAATTTTGAGACAAAATATAAAGATACCTGAAATTTATTTTAAAGTCTTGTGCCAGTATGTGGGAGCAAAAGGGTAGGTTTGCCAGCATTTGTCTTTCACCCACAAAACCAGCAATATGGTTTCACCTAAAAGATACTTCTAAAGAGCTAAAGCAAAATGCTCGCAGTGGCTACAGCGGTATATACTGTACTATCCTTTCAACTTCTCCATATGTTTGAAATTTTCTATAATAAAACGTTGGGAGGGAGAGGTTCTCCCCAGAAATACTTTCCATAGAAGACACCTATAAAATTTACCTCAAATTAAATTTACTTTAAGCTATTTCACTATTCTAAAGCACTGGTTCACTTTTCCTCATTTGCTTACTCCTCATCCGTTCTAAGAATACTAAAAACCTATCTTAACCACTGCCAGTAATATTCTACTATGCGACAGGTCTAATATAAATCGCAACAATAACCCCAATAATCGGCTCAAGATTTAAAGGCATACACATCTGGTTTTACACCCAAATAACAAACTTAACAGCAGTAAAACAAACCGTTTATTACAGCATATGTTATATTAAATTTACACAATGATATATAAAAACACATACTGTTTATATCATACAGTAATTTAACATCAACAGGAATATCAAAACAAATACTACTCATGCACAACACATGCATATATTGGTATATAAAAAAGCAATTTTACACAACACTGTTTACCAAAACACTTTTTATAAAAAAAAAAAAAAAAAGAAGAAAGAAAGAAAGCCCTTTCAAATAGGGTCAGTGGTCCAACCTGGGCTGGATTGCACTAATATGATTAGGCAGAGTGCTTAGTGAGCAATTTTAGGCTTGGAGGCACTCCCAAGAGTTCTTCCTGTAACAGTGAATTTCTCTGTACCCAAGGACAAAATTTCATCCCAAAGGCAAGCCCTGCAAGGAACAAACGGTTCCATCAACTATAAATTAGGGTGGGGGAGAAAGGCATCGAAACGTTGGCTATACGGCCCTAGAAGAGGTTATTGCAACCAGGGCCTAGGCACCAAGTGTGGCAAGAGTTTTTGAGAATCCTCTTAAGGTACTAACAACCTCCCTACCCAGGCTGCCATCTCTGGGTGTAGGGTTCTGTCTTGCAAGTTCTGAGTCCAGTAAACAGAAGAGTTCAGAGGACGAGAAGGAATGGAGATAACGTGTAAAAATGCTAGAAAACCATGACTGCCTCTCGTACCTACTTCACACAACTCTTATGTGAGCACCCTCGACCAGGAAACCCTGGTGGAGACACTGCCCTAACACATCGTGGAATAAACATTAGGTCCTAAGATGCTACCCACCCGACCTCAGGATCAAAACTCCCATCTCAAGAACGCCCAACATCCAAACCTGTACCTGACAGATGCTCAGAAATTATGACATAAAAATCAGCTGATACCACGGAACCACCCACTATCACCACCATCAACACCTCAACGCTTACTTCTAACTAGCAAAACGTTCTTCACCTTCCATTAAAGGCACTAGCGTCCCTAAGTGAGGAGGAGGAGACAGAGTTTACCTTGGCTTTACCTTAACAAAAGCATTCCATAAAGGTCATACACAAAAATTCAGACGCCACCTTTTTATTGGTTTTCGGTAACTGGGGCGGTGGGAGGGTGGGGGAAGACACTGTCTACACCAACGACCCTCTCTGATCAGACCGTGGTCATCAGTTTCAGAGAGCCCGACCGGAAGCGGAGGATTTTCTTCTTGAGGTTGTGGGAAGCCTTGATTTTGACAAAGGTCTTCCTGGGGTTGTGGTGGAGGTCCGCGGCCGCGACGGCCTGGAGGGGCAGCGTCTGCACGAACTGCGACCAGATCAAGCCCCCGCTCTCCTCCGAGTCGCTCGTGGTGGTGCTCTCGCCCACGAAGTCGCCCTCGCTCACGCTGGACTCGCTGTCCCCGAAGCAGTTGGTGGTGTAGTTGCTCTGCTCGTCCTCGCTCGTGTCCACCACGGTGGAGTGGAAGAGGGACTCGCACTCGGCCGAGTACTCGGAGTCGCTGGCCACGTAGGCGTAGGGGCTGGCGTAGGGCAGCGCCACGGGCGAGGGGTACGCGCCCACGTGCTCCCGCCGACCCCGCCGGGCGCGCCGCAGGGCCTCTTCGTAGGAAATCTCCGCCGAGGACTTCCACCGTCGGTAATCGGTTCGCTTGTGCTTAGGTTTGGCCACCACCGCCTCCCGTCCGTGGCCGTGCGCCCGGCTCCCAGCCCTGTGGCCTGCGCCCCCGCTGCCCGGGGGCCTGCCGGGCAGACCACCGTCGGCCGGCCCCACGCCGCTCTTCCTCCCCTTGCTGGAGGCCTTCTTGAGTTTCTTATTTGTATCCAGGTCGTCGGGGAAGCGACACTTCTTGCTGGCCGCCCGGGTTTTCTCCCGGACCGTGGGCAGCCCGCTCTCCAGGCCCTGCAGGGCCAGGCCACGGTGGCGCAGGGTGGCGCTCCTGGCCACGGCCGCGCTCCGGTGGCCCCGGTGGGGCCTGACGCCCGGCGGCTGCCCGGGGATGAACTGAGCCTTGACCAGATGCCCCTCCTCGAGGCTCTGGGAAGAGGAGCCCTCGCTTTTGAAGTCCAAGGCCGGCCTGTCCTCCACGGGGAAGGCGGTGGGCAGCAGCGGGGGCGCAGCAGCGGCCGGAGGGGCCCCGGCCTGCAGGCTGGCTTTCTGCGGCGCCTTTTTCAGGGGCTGCGCAGCTTTGTTCTCCGGCAGGGGTGCCAGGCCCCTGGCAGGGCTGTCCATGGGCGAGGCGGCGGGGATCGGGGCGGTGTCTTTCGGGGGCTCCGCGGGTCCCGCGGCCGGACCCCGCGCGGGCTCCTGCGTGGCCGGCTTGGCGTTTTTGGGCAGATGCCTGCTTTGAGGTTCTGAGGCAGCGCCCGGCGGCGAGCAGCCCTCCGGCGGGGGCAGCCTCTTGCTTTCCAGTTGTTCTGCCTTGGATTCCTTCGCCCACTGCTTGGGTGGAGAGAATGGCCCGTTGTTGTCCAGAGAGGGCAGCCCGCCCGAGGGCGCACAGGGCGGCCTGGGAGCCTTCGGGTTGGCCCCAGCGCCCTGGGAGCCGGCCGCCCTGACACACACGCTCCCGTTCCTCAGGAGCCCTTTCATGGGGTCGGCGCTCACGCTCGTTCTGGGCTTGTTGGTCCTTACGGGGTGCGTTTTCTTCTGGACCAGGCTCAGGATGTAGCCGTCCATCTTCTTGCTGGCGGAAGGCTGGGGAGCCGGCCACAGGCCGCTCGGCGACGGCAGGGACCCGTCCGCCTTGGTGGGCTCCAGCTCCGCGCCAGCGCCCGCGTCGCCGGCGGCCGGGCTCCCGAGCCGCTCCTCCTCCCGAGGGCTGCCCGCCAGGCACAGGAGGAACATGGGGCTCTGCACGGCCACGGCGTGAAGCGGGCTGGGGTAGCGGTACACGTCGTTCCCGTTTTTGGACACCAGATCACACTGGTACTTGGGATTCACATCTGCAATGACATCAAGGGCGTGGCATGGTGCTGCGGACGGGGAGCGGCCCACAGCCCCCGAGGCCTGGTCCTCACAGTGGCCCTCTCTAAATTCCAGCCGTCGCAGGAGATCTGAAAAACAGGGAGAGGGACGCTCTGAGGCACGGAGCCGCTCAGCACCAGCCTGAGGCGCTGGCCAGATTCCGTGAAGACAGATGCCCGGGGGGCGGGAGAATGCCCAAGGATTCAAAACCACTCCACCAGCCCCTCTACCATTTCACGTGTGCTTCACGCCACGGAATGCAGAACGTCTGACAAGCCAGCCTCTGAAGGAAAACCATCCAGCCATCAAGCATGCTTCCAGCCGGGGCCGCGGCTCACTAGGCTAATCCTCCGCCTAGCGGCGCCGGCACACCGGGTTCTAGTCCCGGTTGGGGCACCGGATTCTGTCCCGGTTGCCCCTCTTCCAGGCCAGCTCTCTGCTGTGGCCAGGGAGTGCAGTGGAGGATGGCCCAGGTGCTTGGGCCCTGCACCCCATGGGAGACCAGGAAAAGCACCTGGCTCCTGGCTCCTGCCATCGGATCAGCGCGGTGCGCCGGCCGCAGCGGCCATTGGAGGGTGAACCAACGGCAAAGGAAGACCTTTCTCTCTGTCTCTCTCTCTCACTGTCCACTCTGCCTGTCCAAAAAAAAAAAAAAAAAAAAAAAAAGAATGCTTCCAAAGTCCCGAATGATAGAGGAACGGCACATTATAGTGGAGATTTATCCCAGAGTATAATTTTATTAAGATGGTGTGTATGCAAAGAAAAAGCATCTGGGTTGAAGCACACCACGCCTGGAACAGTAGCATCTCAGGGGAATGCAAGTGATGTCTACTTGCGTCTTCATTGGCCAGTTTCTGAAGTTTCAATAGCTAACGCATTACAACTAGAAAATGCTGAATCTTTTTTTTGTCTTGGTTACTCTCTTTTGTTTCTCATTTCCCGTTACAATAGTTCAAATCAAGTGTTTTGTGTGTGCTCTCTTCGCATTTTGTGTTTTTTAGACACTATTTTATGTTACAATTCAAATGTAACTGCCAATGGAAAGATCAGGGGAAATGATCAAATTCCATTAAAGACTAATCAAATTTAAATAATAATCACCTCATATTTTCAATGACACTAAGGCAGTTTTTAATAGGACAATGAATTCTTGATAAGTTTTTCAAGGATTTGAGTAGTATTAATGTATTAGTATTGAGTAGTAGTATTCATTTTCACATCTCAAAAATCTAGATGCCAAAGTACAATAAAATCAAGCTATTTTTCTTACATAAAATATTTTGAATGTTTATCTTGCTGAATATTATAAATACTGCATCCGTTTTAATGACCTATAGTTACCAGAGAAAATCAAAGTTGAGTATATCGATTTGTCCTCCACTATATTTACTCATTCAAATACTGAGAGCTACTGTGTGCCAGATCCTATGTTTATTGTTTCGGGAAAGCACCACAACTTCAATAATTATCAGTCTCAGGGAAAACAAAAATAGTCTAGACCCAGCAATGATATGATTCATGTGTAAAGAAAGATCTAACAAAATGAAAGTGCAATGTCCCCACCCACTTGACCCCCCCACAGCTTACCCTAAGAAGAGGGAGCCTCTAGGTAACATCCCACCCAACCCTCCTCCCCACCACCCTATTTTTGCCTTACTAAAAGCCACATTCGCCATTCATCCCATTTCCTGACAATTCATCCCTTTTCCCTGTTTAGAGCTGAACAATATGGACATTCCAGCCCTCAAGGCCCCAGCCCAACAAGTGTCCCAATTACAGGAGGCTGTAATTTGGGAGAACAGGAATCTGTCTTCCAGGAAAACTTGTACAAAGCGTCATTAATGGGTTTATAAATTTGCCCTCTGAAACCAGATCTGCAGAGTGAAGGGGCACAATTACCAACGAACTTGAGGCCCAGACACTCTAGATAACACAGCTCTGCGTTTCCCCAAATGACTGTTTCTGACAACACACTGTACCAATACAAAGACAGCAGCCAATTAGCAACCTCAGCTGCTTGAGGTTGTTTGCCTTGCCTGGACTAAAAAAAAATCAGCATTCTATCCAAGTGGAAGACAGAGACAAAGCCAGACTGCGATGACTTATGCCAGCCCCTACAGCAACTACGTCCATATTTTCTCTGCTCTTCCAAGGAAGCCCAGGATACAGGGACAAAGGAGAGGTCCTGAGTTTCAGCAACAATTCTACCACTCAGCCTCTGACAAATGGTTTAGAAGTCCAAATTCCTCCTCTGTGGGATGAGAAGGCTGAACATAACTTCTGAACCCTTTTCTAGGTAGTATAAAAACATAGATCTGGAAATCGGACCGAGCTTAAATCTTGTCTCTGCCAATACTAGCAGCTCTACAGCCTTAAACCACTTATCTAACCTCAGTGGGCCTCACTTATTGATAGATGAAATGAAGCTAGTAACACCTACATCCTGCAGAACTGCTGGAAGGACTCAAGGGAGATTAATGTAAGCAGAACATCCACTACCATGGAAATGCAAAAGCTCTTCCGGTGCCAACAGTAGCATGATCATCTCTGAAGGCCACGGCTAATGGGGAACGATGGCTTACAGGCTCGGAGGGATCCCATCCCACCAACCTGCTAAAAAGGGGCGGGGGCTGTCATCCTGCAGGGCATTCTGGAGACCACGGAGGGGCTACTGCTGCTTGAAGCACCAAGCACACCTTGGCCCAGCTGATGGACATATTTAACTCAATGTGAGCTTTAGCTTTCAATAACTAAAGGAAGAAGGAAAATGCTTCCAGAGTGATCTTTGAGAAAAACTGCAAACAAGTTAAACTGACACCAAAGGCTCAGAAACAGAGCTCTCAATACCTACAATGGGCCAGGATTTCTGAAGATAAACTGTTCTGATACTATTAGAATAAAATACAGTACTGAAATGGTTCTCAATGTGCACCTAAATGAAACTATAGGTTCTAGATGCAACCATGGCACTAAATGTGGCGTTTATTATTTTATCAGTAAAAGGGGTTGGGGCTAGAGAGCCTTTGAGGGCCCTTGACCTCTAGCAATGAAATACTTCCCAGTGCTAAAATTTCTTACCTGCAGATTTGGGACAACCATCTGAGATAGTCAAGGTTGCCTCCAAGGGGCTGCAAAAGCAGGTGCTGGAATGACAAGTGGATAAACACTCACTGAAGACCGAGTTAGAGGAATTGGAAAGGGATCCTGAGGCCCCATCACTCAGCTCATAGAACCCTATAAGTAAAAACACCGTCGGAGTTAAGATCATATCAAGGTATAATGAACAGTCATGCTTAAAAGGCAAAGGCAATCCTCTAGCCAAGGGAGGGTCCTGCGGTTTTTCTGGCCACTTCTGCTTTCCCTGGCTTTAGTGTCCCGACTTTACAGGTTTATTTCAAACAATCCTTAGGAAAAGGCAAAGAACTACTAACTTTGGGTACATTTCAAAGTTACACTCACCCTCACACTGACCTTACTGCGTGACCCCACCCTTAGAGATGTGCACGAAAGGAATTTGGATGTGTCAGAGCCTCCACTTCACATCAGTATTTCAGAAGGAATAACTTGGAGAGGAAAACAAATCTATTTAAGGAGCCAAATGGTTTAAAAGAAAAGAAAAAAAAAAAACTTTGAAGTGGTCTCAGGAAGTTGAAGTGTGACTAATTTTCTAGCCCAGTTCTAAGTTTCTCAAGTTTCAAAGCACTGCTCTTCCAGAAATTTGAATAGAAGCTGTTAAACGCAAGAGGCTCCGGTCAGATCAATCTCATTATTAAAAATGTTGCTGTCTGACTTTATTTCCCTCACGCGCAACTGAATGGCAGGCTGCCTTTTTAGTCTCTCTGCACTGCAAACAAGCGATTGCCATTTTGAGGGCTGGGAACCCTAGCCACAGGGGACTGAGGAATAACCCCAAGAGTGCAGACTTTGGTCCTCGTGCGCAAACCTCACCTGAGCTGGGCCTGCTGTCTGTTTCCAGGTGCTCTTCCGATGTCTTCTCTACATCCAGTCTCAGGTCACTTATCTGCTTGTCAAGTTCATGCAACTGATTCAACAAACCAGCATCTCTTCTCCTCAAACAATTCTGTTTGGAAGAAACAGGTAAAAGGAAAATGAACACACTCTGTTGACAAAGACCAGAAAGTTCACCTCAACTAATATATAAATAACCCATCTGAAGAGTCCACTTCCAAAACCAAAAGCTTACTGGAATCAGAGGTCTTTATTTTTTGACCAGAAATAAAAACTGCAAGAATTCAAAAGTACACCCCATGTTTTTTTCTCATATTTTGTGGTGATGTAGATCCTCTTCATCAAAACAAGACAGGTTTGTGGTCTTAATCAATGCATGCAAACTATGACTCTTTATAGGCAGGGACAAGAAAAAAGCACTGAGACTTTAAATCAGCTTTTAAATCAGCTGGTATACGTTTAAAAAAAAAAACTATTCACAGTAGACTCTTGAATTTGAAGTCAGAGTAACAGATTTCCTACAATACGCTATAACCTTACTTAGGTGAGATTTTCTGGCCTTGGCCTGCAGTTTTGTTTTCTATTAGTTGCTTTGTGGGGTTTAATCAGTCTTACAGCCTTTGAAAGTGAGAAACTAATACTAATAGCCAGTGCCAAGTATAATCTGAGCTGGCAGAATCCAAAACCCTCTAGGGAAGGCCCATCAAGATTTGAACTCTGCTCGGGTTTCCAAAGGTGACAGATTGGTTGGACTAACTCACACCGCCACCTAGTGCTTCCCGTCGCTGGAAAAGCAAAAGAACTCAAAAGGCATCTGGTTCAAATCAGGATGCCAAGTCCACAAATGAAAATAGTACCATAAACACTGCGGGGCTGGAATTCTGACACACTGCCCTGCTCCCAGCGAGCAGACAATAGGAATGTGCCACTCACTGGGCTGAGAATCGTGGAGACAGAAAAGTTGCGATGGTTCAAGACAATGCATAAAATGTCAACAACCAGGAACGACCAGTGAGAACTGGCTCAGACCAATGTTAGGTACAGATCTGGTCTGTTACCAAAAAAACTCAGTAAAATGCCAAGAAAAAGAGGTAGTGCACCAACCACAGCACACTGTGTTACAAAATCCATCTATGAGCATCTACTGCTGTTGCCTGTCCTTGACTTAAAGAGCTTGGAGACACAAACCATATGCTTCTTTGCTAAAAAGAATTTTTCAGGAAAAATGAAACAGACAAAAGCACTTTGATGCGCAAAATAATCTGAGAGGAGACAGGACAGGAACACACATGACGAGCACACAGCGAAGCCACTCTCCAGCGTGTGTCCAGCTTCAGATGGACTCACTTGGTCAGATAAGGATCTTCCCCTGTTTCCAAAACTACATTTGGAGGTCACCAAAACAAAGCTGCCGCCATTATTCCCAGGCTGGGTCAAAAGCTGTTCCTCGATACATTAAGGTCCAAAGTTGGTTTTCTCCCCCTCATTAATGAAGACGGCACATGGTGACAGAGCCGTTGACAGAAATCCAATGAGAGAAACGCGCCCCGGGAGCAGGTCCCTCTTCTACCTCCACCACGAATCAGAGCAGGATATAGAAAATTGGGGGGGGGGGGCACTCCCTCCAGCCAAATTTCCATCGTTCGCAACTAGTTTTAGCTGCCTTATACAAAGGGCTTCTATTTGAAATCCAGCACCAGCCCTTCGAAAGCCAGCGTGCTGGCAAGAGCCTGGAAGGGGCACGGCTCCCTGCCACCGCGTCGGGGCGACCGAGAAACTGGGCGCTGGACAGCTGACCGCGCCACAAGCCCCCTCCCCGGCTCTGTGCAGAAGCTAGGGAAACCTCGGATGCCATACTATTTTAAGGGGGGGGGGGGGTGTCTTTGCAAACCTTTGGGCAGAGGACTCACTCTTCTAAGGAGACATCGTTGGAACCAGGCGGCTCCAAGAACCCTCAAGGCAGGGGAGGAGGGGAGAGCGGCCGCCCCCTCCCCGCAATTCGGGCGAGGTCACCAGCCCCTCACCTGACACAAAGCAGGCGCCCGCTGGGGACGCGTGGGCGTCGGCACCCACCCGCCGCCGCGGGCACCCGCAGCCGTGGGGGGCGGGAGGGGGCGTCCCACCCCAGCGACAAGCGCGCCCCGGTCACAGGCAACCTCGCGTCTACTCCCGGCCACCTGCCCGACCTGCAGCCCCCTGTGCCCCACCTCGGGCACGACCTACCAATTGCTTCCGCAAAAGCAAGATGTTCTCCTCTAAGAACTTCTCCTCCAGGCGGCTGCGCTGCGCCGCCTCCCCCGGCAGCTCCCCGGCGCGGGGCGCAGCAGCCCCGGCGCCCCCGGCGTCGCGCAGGGCGCCCCGGACCAGCAGCTCCTGGCGCTGGCGCAGGTACTCCAGCTCCGCCAGGCCGGCCAGCGTGGCCTCCTGGCGCTCCCGGGTGCGCTGCCGCTCCGTGTCCGCCTCGCCCTTCTCCCGCCAGCGCCCCTCGGGCTCCACCGCGCGCTGCTCGCCCCGGGCCGGCGCCTGCGGCTCCAGCTCCCTGGCCGTCCCGGCCGGACTCGGCTTCATGGTCCCAAACCCGGCAGCGCGCGCCCGTCACCGCAGCCGGGCCGCCGCGGCGGAGGAGCGGGACTCTAGGGCTACGGACGCCGGCTCATGTCGCCGCCCTGCGGCGGGGGCTCGGCGCCGGGCGCGGAGGCTGCGAGCGCTCGAGACCCGCGCGCGCGCGCGCCGCCGGCTGCAGCGCACCCGGCCCGGGCGGCGCCGTCCTCTGTCGCCGCGCGTCTCTCCCCGCGGCCCCGCAGCTGATAACGCCCTGCCCGGCGCTACGTCACGCGCGGCGGCCCGGCGCCCGCCTCCGCCTCCCGCCTCCCCGCGCCGGCCCCTCGGCTCCGAGGCCCGCTCGCCAGCCTTCCCCCCGCTGTCAGGCGCGCCGCGGGCGCTCTGGGCCCGCCCCCCTCCCCGCCCCGTCTCCACCCCGCTCCTCCCGCGCGCCTCTGGGCCCCCTTTTGGGGTTGCCTGCACCCGGGTTCCTTTCCCTCGCGCAAAGCCGGGGGCGAGCGCCTGGCGCCCCGGCGTCCACTTAGCGCCCGCCTCGCCGGCAGGGTCGGCGTCGGGCTCCCCGGGAGAACTTGCAGCGCTCGCCAAGTTACAGCGCACACCCTTAACCCTTTGCGCACTCGTGCCCCGCACTCCGCGGGTTCGCGTCCGCCTCCGCGAGGGGCGGGCCTCCCAGCATCTGTCCGCGGGTTCGGCTTTCTGACTCCACTTTGCAAACGCAAGCCCTACAAAGCACAGTGCGCAGTCGTCCTGCACGGCTGCTGTTTTATTTATTTTATTTATTTTTTTAGGGAGGTCTCACTACGCCAGGCATTGAAAATCAGGCAGGGGGTTCGTCGCTGTATGGCAGGGCGGTCGCACCAATTCTTGTGCAAGCCCGAGATTTATGAGGGCGCGCGCGTGCGCGTTTTGGGTTTTGTTTGAGTTTTTATTGTTGTTTAGTCTGCATCCAAGAGAGCTCTGACTCTGAAACCAGACCCTGTGGATTTGAATCCCATTCCACCCATGAATAACGTGCGTGCAAATTTCCCCCCTCGCCGCTGTGCCCCTGTTTCCCCGGCAGCGGGGAAATGGAGCTCCCGACAATCTGCCTGTCCTAAGAATTATGCTGCAGAGCACAGAAGAGGAATTTGTGGGGGGCCGGCACGTAACGGCTGTATGAGTTGTAGCTCCCCCCCGGGGGGGGGGGGTGTATAATGTGAGTCCTCCCCCTTTAACATCATTTGCGGTATCATCGTCTCTGGTCCTGGGGAATTTCAGTGGATAAGGGTCTGCGAGTGCCACGGGCTGGCTTTGTCTATGGAAGGAGCCCGTATATTTTTTTTTCAAAGCTGTGCATCTCAGAGCCTCAGAAGTTGAAGGCAGCACGTCGCTCGTGGCTGAAGTCTCCGCAAGTGTTTGGCGACCGCGTGCGTCCGACGTGGCGACTGCCTACTCTCGCCCGGTGCCCAGCAGCGGACGTCGGCCAGGAACTCGCCCTCGTCGCCCCAGCCCCCACTCTGTGGTCTCGCCTTCCTTCCTTCCAAAGATCAGCTCGCTGGCGTTCCCCCTTCGAATTCCACACACAGCTCAGCGCAGGTGTTTACGACTATCCCTTCTGCCCAGCTACATTATAAAAGCTCCCTGAAGGCAGGAACTGTTTTAATGCCTTCTTAGTATCGTCGTACTTAGCACAGCGCCCGGTAAAGCATTCAACTGATAATTGCTAGAGAGAGGCTCGAGAGGATGTAGGTTAGTTGTAAATTGTTTTTTCATTAACATACTTTTGAACTTTTAAACTTAATAGTACTCATGTAATCTCTACTACAAATAGCATTAAGTCACATTTACTTAACACACGTACACACTAGAGCTCCCTCACCGCCCTTTGCCTTCCTCCCGTAGACACGAAACGAACTTTGAAGGCCAACCTTGATTCGTGATTAATATATAGAACCAATTATAATTAATATGGAACCATCTATGTCCTGCCTAACACGGAAAGGAATTGTCCTCCCTTATTTTAGAGAACTATAGACTAGTCACTTATCCTACCTGCCAAACGCCACCCGCACCCCTGTCCTCTGTCACTGTTTCATTCTACTAATTTCTAAATAAGCATCTTGCTTTCTAAGTTCTCAATTACATTCCTTCTGCCTGGGTGGAGTCTATTGTGGCCTGTGTTGTGTCACATATCGGCCACTGTATTTATATACTGGGGAGGGGGTCTGAAACATGTTTTTACACACTACTAATAAATCTTGTTAAAGCAGACAGACAAGTCTCTGTGTCTGCAACCTCCCCACCTTCCCACCCAGCCCCCACCAAATGCCACTTTGAGCTGGCTCATTAGTCCAAAGCAAGCCATTTGCCAAAACAGCTTGTACTTCTCCATGAAAAAGTGTCTCCAGCAAGTTCAAATATTAAAACGAATGTGTTCAGATGGTTCTGCCAATAACATGGTCACAAATAGGAAAAAAGGTTATACTTACCCAAGTATCCATTACACATTCATAAATAATGCTGTTCAGTCACGCGCCAATTAAAACAAACTTGGGCTGTCAAATGAAGTTAGAAGCAAGGAACTCAATGCTGTCATTGTTTTTCCAGGAAAAGTCCCAATGTCATCAGATTAAATGTGACTGGCTGGGTCGCCCTATTCTGGTCCCCCATCAGCCAAATTGCCCCCTCTCCAGTGGAGTTCCCTGGGTTTTCTTTGCCCTGTGATTCTTTGTTTGGCTTGCAGGTATTTAGGCTGTTGAAAGCAATCACCCACTGCTCCCTTCTCTTGCCAACAAGATCTCACTTCCCCCCGCGGCTTCGATTTTTCTTTCCCTTTCTTTTTTAAAGCAGGTGCTGACCCTTCCTCCTCACTGGTGCTACTTCATTATCTCCTTCCTCAACTTGTTCAGTGCTAGTTCTACTTTCCCTGGAGGCCCCAGCCTTCTCAGAAAAGCCGCTAATCCACAGAAAGTGTGGACCAGAGAGCGGCGGATCTGGAGAGTAAGTCCCAGTTGCCAGCATGGAAAGGGGGCACTGGCTGAGTCTACTGCAGTGGTGCAGCTTATGCTTAAAGCCAGGAAGAGTGGCTCATGAGGATCACAGAGTCTGCAACTCCTAGGCGCACCCCCGCCCAAGTCTGAACATGGTTCTCCAAGCGCCTTGTCCAGCTGGGGATGTCCTACTCAGCAAAGGGAAAAGCATCAGTTGCACATTTTGCTAAACAGAAAAGCACCAAAATGATGCCTTGAAGCTTTTATGGCCAAACACACACAAGTGATGTAATTGGGAAAGCTGTCTCCAAACAGGAGGAAGAAAAGTCAGGCCAACCCTTTGAGTTGGAGTGATGACCACCATTCGAAGGTCTGGGATCAAAGCTCCAGCCAGACATCAAAGCCCATTTGAGTCTAATGCCCAAAGAGCCACAGTGAATTAAACTTCATATATAAACTAATTATAGCTTGACCCCCCCCCCCCATCCAGGCGTCAGGGAGCACACAGGGGAAAGAAAGCAGACATTGAAACAAAAGATCAAGAAAAAGCAAACTTGGTAGCAAAGCTGGGCACCATCAGGGCCCTGAACACTTTAAAAATCTTCAGAGGGCAGAGGCGCAGAAGGGGACGACAGAGGCCACAGCGAGCTTGTGACAATGCTGGCCTTGTTTGAAAGGCTATGAAACAGCCCCTTCCACCCTCTCTGACTGATGCACCACGAAACACATCCTCCTTCCTGGAGGGAGAGGTTATCTTTTTGCTGCGTTTCAGTGCTGTGAAAGAACGCTGTGTCACCAGGTTTCTGTGGGAGAAACCACGGGGATTCCACTAAGTGGGGTGGTGCGTCCTTCAGGATGCTCGGGCCTCCTCACCCAGAGTGTGGTGAGCTTGCTCCAACACCCTCACGTGTCCTGGGGTGACCTGCATTCCCAGTGGTCTTCATAATCGTGGATCGTGCCATCGACTTCAGATTCCGGTCCCTTAACCCTGCCATTCCTACTACATTACAGATGGAAGATGCGGGATAGCAAGCATGCAACCTAGAACCACATACCCTGGTGCTAGCACCATAAAGTGATTGAGTCTACTGCATTCCCAGAAAAAAGTTAAGCGTATTGCAAAGACAAGTGACTGCTCTCAACAGTTGGATTAGGGGATTTTACCCTGACTTTGCTTCATTGGGATCGTTCCCCAATTACTTAAAATTCCTGACTTTGTGAACTGGCAAGCCACTACCCATCTGATAAGAAAATCCATAAAATATTTTCAATCACATCTCTTTGTAGATAAACACGAGTTTCTTAAAAGAACAAAATCTGAATTTATAACCTCAATCTTGAAAAAGAAAAAAAAATTTAATAGGTATTCTTACAGGAGCTAAGCAACCTGGACCAGCATCATCACATGACATCTCTTTGAATGATCATCCGCATGTCGAACAGGTGTTTACTGAGAACTTAATGCATGTAATAAGTCAGGGATGCAATTGTGAGCAACTGAGATACAATGCCTGCTTTCATGGAGCTTATGTTAGAATTAAACTGGCACTAATTAAGTATATCCATGTATATGTATTTCCAAATTGTGAAACAGCTATAGTTTGCAAAGCAATATTTTTTAAAACAGATATATGATTATATCCAGTCATACTCAAAAATATATTGCCTTTTTTCCAGGGGAGGGGAATCTTACATTTTACTTTTTATCTTTGGTTTTTTCATGTTTATTTTTTACCTACTTGAAAGGCAGAGAAAGAAAGACGGAAATCTCCCACCTGCTGGCTCACTCCCCAAATGCCTGCAACAGCCAAGGCTGCACCAGGCTGAAGCCAGGAGCCAGGAACTCCATCTGAGTCTCCCATGTGGGTAGCAAAAACTCAAGTACATGAACCTTCTACTGCTCCCTCTCTGCATGCATTAGCAGGAAGTTGGAGGGGAAGCAGAGTAGTTGGGACTCCAACCGGCACTAGGATATGGGACGCAAATGTGCCAGGCAGCAGTTTAACCCACTGCACCCACAACACACTCCCACCCCCTTGGTTTTTTTTTTTAAGATTTATCTTATTTATTTGAAACACAGAGTTATGGAGTGGGAGAGAGGTATCTTCCATCCACTAGTTCACTCCCCAAATGGCCCCAACATCTAGGGCTGGACCAGGCCAAAGCCAGGAGCCAGGGAGCTTCATTTGGGTCTCTCACATAGGTGCAGGGGTCCAAGAAT